ACACACACACACACACACACACTCACACGTTTGTTTTTTTATCCCACTGGGGATCATGGATTGAGGTTCATTAATTTTGTGGTAATTTTATAGCCTAACCCTGACCATTTACCCTAAAATTAACCACAGGTTAAACCAAAGCCCCCATCTGAAATTAGCCTCCGTACCCGGGMAAATTGATAAATTCCTGCGGTCTGACTCGCAGCTGTGTGTCTCCTCAGAACATGAGCGACGCCATGGCCGTCCTCCCGAAGCTGTCCACGGGTCTGGACGTCAACGTGCGTTTCACCGGCGTCTCGGACTTCGAGTACACGCCCGAGTGCATCGTGTTCGACCTGCTGAACATCCCGCTGTACCACGGCTGGCTGGTGGACCCGCAGGTGAARGTTTTGAACGTGGAATCCTAAAACCGTCGCGGTGCGTGTTTCTGACAGCCGTGTTCTCTGGGTTCAGAGTCCAGAGACGGTCGCTGCTGTGGGGAAACTGAGCTACAACCAGCTGGTGGAGAAAATCATCGACTGCAAACACTCTGGAGACAGCAGCCGAGTCAGTGAAGGTAACACCAACATACCAGACTGACCCAAACCAGCCGACCAGAAGAATCTAAACTCCAAGCAYTACACTTCCTCTTTTGAATACCTATCTACACATTTCCATGAATAAAAAAAAGCAGCTGTGTTTGTGTCTTCCTGCAGGTTTAGTGGCAGAACAGTTTTTGGAGTCYACGGCGACTCAGCTTTCATACCACGGTCTGTGTGAACTCAACACCACAGCTAAAGAGGGCGAGATCTCCGTGTTCTTCAGAAACAACCACTTCAGTACGATGATCAAACACAAGGTGGCGACAGACACGACCACGATCCACCTCCAGGCGTGGCTGTTGTTCATGAAGCTCCTGTCCTCCTTACAGGGTCACCTGTACCTCCTTGTGACGGACCAGGGCTTCCTGCAGGAGGAGAGCATGGTCTGGGAGTCTCTTCACAACGTCGAGGGAGACGGAAACTTCTGCGACTCTGACTTCAGGCTGTGCCACCCTCCCGAGAGAGCTCCGCCCACGTCCCACCTGCCGCCTGGCGCCCAGGAGCAGCAGAGGCAGATCGACCAGGTGAGGCGAGAGACGAGCCGAGACGAGCGGTCGGTTATTAAAGCAGCGCTGATCGTTCTCGCTGTTGGTTCTAGGACTACCTGGTGGCCGTTTCCCTGCAGCAGCAGCAGGGAGGGGCCCCCGGACCCCTCAGTGACCTGGAGTTGGCCCAGCAGCTCCAGCAGGAGGAGTATCAGCAGCAGCAGCAGCAGCAGCAGCAACAACCAGGGTCATCACAGACGGCACACCAGGTAGATTTAACTTTTACCAACATTAAACGCTTAAATCAGCTTCTGGCTTTATGAAAATGGCCAATTAAACAATTAACAAAGGCTGTGTAAAACTATAAATCATGACGTGCTCTAGTAAAAAAWTTTTCAGAAATTAACTTCAGTTTAAGTTGCAAAAACAGTAGCTCTTTTAGCTAACTAAAACTAACGAAAAAAACGAAAACTAAAATAAAAAAAACATTTTAGTTAACTGAAATAAATAAAAGCTAAAACAAAATGAAGAAAATAACTAACTAAAACTGTATAATCTTTTTACAAAACTATGTAGGAGGTGAGCTTAAGGTGAATTAAGCTCTTCCCACATCTCTCATACACAAGGTTATGAGGAAACTTTTACCAAGGTATTTCTCATTACTTGTTAATATCTTGACTGTGCGAAGTGAAAAGTGACACAATAAGTGAACGTTCAGACGAGTTCAAGTTGATTCATAAAAGACTATGCAATCATTTATTTACACAAATTGAACAGATCATAAGTTACACTTGATTGTGGTTATTCCTATAACAAGCGTCAGAGTTAAATGAGATAAAACCTGTGTCCGAATTTCAATTCACATCAACTCAGATTACTTATATAGAACAGTAAAARGTCAGTTCTGATGTTAAAAACCAAACAATTTTACTGGCACTTTTAGCTTAAGTTTTGGCAATTTAAGAATAAGGAAAGGAGGAAAGTAAGATTAGTATGTTACTACTACTTTTACTTTTATCAAAGTGTGGGTCAACCGGAACTGCACGTCTTTTCTAAGCTCAGATTCCACATGACACATCACTCCTAACACATCAGCTTTTACCTGATGATGACTTCTTAAGGCACCCTTGGGGTAGGAGCTGGCTCGCCTCCAATCAGTCAGGGAACTGATGTTGGCTCGCTTACCGGTCATTGGCGAACAGGTGTTTTCACAGGTAACTTTCGTCTGTTTCAGTCCAAGCCAGAAAAATTCACGCCGTATCCGGTTCCTCTTTCCAAAAATAAAATCTCCCTTCGGGAGTTAAAAACACACTTTAGAGGCTTGAAGCCTCGGGATGAGACCACCGGCTGGCGTGCCGGGTCCCTGGCTGTGAAGTCTCCCCTAGTTAGCTCATGGGATCAGACTAAAAGCCAAACTGGGTTTTTCTCCGGAGAGAATCCCAGCTGTCTTCCTCAGTTGGAATCAGGAAGAAGAGTGTCTCGCTCAAAGCCTTCCGGGTTAGTAAAAGAAACGGACGAACTTTGGTTCCGCCCTCAGGCTTAGAGATGAATCAGAGAAAGAAAGATAAAGGATTTGCCAGCCGGCGCCAGCCCAAGGTTAAAATTCTGTGGTTGTTCAACAACATGATATGATAACCTCTTTTCAACTTTCTTCTGATAGACTCTAAGAGAAATCACTGCAAAACATTTATGATGATTAATTAACATTTCTGTTTTATAATCAGTTCTGAACCTTCTGTTAGTCCAGATAAAGGAAAGATTTTCTCAGGAAAAATCCATAATTATATTGCTGTGTTCACAGTAAAATAAAAACTGTGATTTACATAAAAACACAATGAAAACATTGTAATCAGATTCTCTGTGACTTTTTTATACCATTATAAATCTTTAAGGCACGATAAAAGAAAAGAAGTGGTTCCACTTTTCCTGTGAAGTCATTATCATGATTTAACAAATGCATAAACATTCTTAGTTAACCAACAAATGAATCACGAACAGAAGAGATTGTTCTGTCCATTATCTGATTAAGAGAACTGAGGGGTTCTCTTCCACAGTTAGAATAACCTGTCATGGCCTAAATAGAGTTCAGTTTGTGACAAAGTTCCTGTCCTCTCGTCAGGCCTGTTCGAGGCAGTAAATCTTGTTTCTTCACTCGAGGTGACCCCTACAACTATTTAAAACTATCTAAAGTTATTAACTGAATATCCTTTGTTTTAGTTTTTGTCAATTTTAAGCCGTGTGGACGGATTAAACCATTATTTATTTCTTTTTTACATCGAGCAGTTTCACGTCAGCTGCAGGCGGTTTACGGCACCTCATGGCCCATAATGTCATTTGTTTACAATCTGCTGCTGCTCAGCGCATGTCGGCAACATGACGACAACAAAAGTTGCGAGAAAGCGGCAAAGTCAGATTTGGGATTTCCTCTAACATGACTGCGAGAAAAATAAAAGCAGGCGTCTTGTGGAAAGAAGCGATAAAATGGGTGGAATATGTCACAAGGGGAAAAAACGTGATCAGTCTCACCCAAAGACAGCTAACTGTGAGTATCTTGATAAACTAGCTTCTCTCAGCAACAGCCCAGCCAGGTAGCGCCAGCATGGAGAAACACCTTCCTAAAATTATCACCACTTTGTTGGCAAAATTGAGTTACGTGATTATTTTAGGAAGGTGTTGCTATAATGGACAGGTGGGACGTGTCCCTCACAGGAGACAGGAGGAGACAGGCACAAAGCCACCATCAGTGAAACAGACTGAAACAGCAGCAGCAGGACTTATTTGTTGTTGTTTTTCAGAGTAACACCGGTGAAGAACACACAAGGGCAACACCTGATCATAGTTTATCAGTATACATGACATTATATTAGATATTATGTGCAATAAGTAGTGAGACATTGGAAGCAATAAAAGGTGGAGGGAGGGAGGAAGTTCAGGTGAGGTCTGAAATTAGTTTAGTGAAATATGTATTAGCTTGTTGATACTTTTTAAACATTTTTTAATCATGAGAAGAAAAGAGGAGAACAGGTGGAGCATCAGGGTGTGAGGTCCTGTTTAAAAACCATAATAGATGCAGAAAGAAGAGGTGAGGACTGGTGTCAGGTTGATGTTTCATTATTTCCACAGTTATAAGGGTTTGGGTTAGGTTGTGATCTTTAGCTGCAGAACAACTCCCCACTAGAGTTGTGTACATTTATTTGGTGAAATGCTTCTCCATAATGATCAATACGTGATTTTTTTTTTCTTGTTCAGTTTAAAATGATTCACCTTTAGGTTCAGGAGTGAACCTCATCTCTGAAGCCATTTTGTATGTTTAGCAGCAGCGATGCAGGGGCTGCACAAAGGAGACAAGAGGAGAGGAGGTACAGAGCTGGAGCTCTTGAATTAAATTAGTAAAAACTTTTACTGTAAGTTTTACTGTAGGTTGGGCTGTAAACAGAGCTGACAGAATATGAGATATAATGCATACATGTAAATCAGTTGTATGATAAAATCCTTAACAGATACTTTTTAGCTTCTCTAAGTCACTTGCTGGTGCTGTATATTACATGTAGTTTTCTCTGTTGTAAACGTGATGATGTCATGCAGGGACATCAGAGGCAGTAAGTCAGAGAGGGAGAGGCAGGAGTAGACCAACAGGTAAGAGAGAGGAACACAGAACAGGTATTTTATATTAGAAAATCTTCTGATGACAGTAGTATTTGTAAATATTGCAATGAAGATATCAGATGTGATCTGTCTTTTTTTTTCTTTCCTCTCTTTCTAATCTGTACTTCCTATTTTATGTGACTTTTAGTATTTTTGGTCAAGTGTGAGCTTTTGCTGCCATGAGACTCTGTCCTACTGGCTAAATATTGCATTAGCATGAAAAATACAACTTCAAACCTCTTCAAGTACATTAGTCAACAATTATTGTACATCAAGAAGTCCTTTGCAGTATGAATATTGCACACTCTGACATTGTGATGACAATATATTCGTTATGCTGTGCAAGCCTATTAGACTTGAGATATTTTGTTGGGTGGTTTACCCACATCACCTTTTTTATTTCTGCTCAGACTATGTACAAATCTGTCAGGTTTCCAATATTATGTGTCGCCCCTCAATAGTAAACTCATTCCTACACCTTTGGCTGCTGGTTAGTTAACTCAGAAACATCACAAGCAGGAGGATGCATTGGAAAATATGTTTTTTAAACTATAAGAAAGCTAATACCAGAACTAATAAAAACTAAAACTAAGCAGTAAACAAACAATAAAAACTAGCAAATCTACTGTAAAAACTAACTGAATTAAAAGAAAAAAAGTCGAAACTAACTAAAACTAAACTATAATGAAAAATCCAAAACTATTATAACCTTGCCTCTCAGCACGTAGCTGCAGAGGCTTCCAGGCTTGGAACAAATGGTTTAAAGTGGTGGGAACGTTACCAGACCGATTTCTGGGGGTTTAAATGTTCTGTAACCTCCTGAGATCCGGTTCCACTTCGAGTTTTAACTCCTTTCTTTGATCTTCAGGTCAGAGGTCAGGGGTCGCAGCAAGCCAGAAGGAAAGAAAAGGACTCGGACTGCGTCCTCCTATAGACTCCTCCTCATCCTCGTCTGGACCACCTCAGAGCCCCCCGACTTTGGCATGTCGGCCGCAGACTTGGTTAGCTCGATGCCAAACCCCGAGTGCTTTTTTTTTTTTTTTTTTTTGTCCAGGTCCCGGTTTGTGTCAGACCCGGTCCTGGTTTGTAAAGTCCTGAGGATTCTGTTGGACCAAACGGGTACCCCTGATGAACAAAGGGCTCGTCAGAATAACTAAACACTCTCTACCTGCTGCTTTTAGATCCGTTTGGAATTATTAATAAGAACTTTGTGTTGCCAAAAATCAAAAGTATTGTAGATTTTGACAATTGGATGAATAAAAAAAAGATCATTAATCTAAACTCTTTTACAGAAACGTTAGAGACCTGCTGTTAACTTGTTTTCAGATTTTTGGCCTGGGAAAATGTTTATTTATGCAAATTAGCTTTCTGAGCGATGCCCAAAGTGTTCACTGCTTAAAAAAAACACTTTGTTTCTGCTTTATGAGTAATCAAACATTAAATCAAACTAAAAAGTGTTATTTTTCTTGTTTTCGTTGATTCTGGATTGGTTTTATTAAAGCCAAAGTGGATCGTTTTTATTAATGTTGACAAAAAGCAACTGGTGGTTTGCAACAGTTACAGCTTTGAAAATAAGCTTTGTGAGATGATGGTAAAATATTTGACACATCGCAGCACTTTAGGGAGAACTTTGGTTTATTTTCCATATAAATCTGACTRTTCCCTTCACCTCTGTTATAACTTGTTGCAGAAAGCATTGTGAAACATTGTTCAGTGGACTAAAAATGCATCTTTACCAAAACTGAATCACATGGCTTAGTTGAAATATTTGCTTCGAAAATAAAAAGAACAAAGTAACTAAATGTTTCTACATTTTCACCCAGTTAAAATGCCTGTGACATGCATATACTTCAAATACAAAAAGTCAAACATCTTTATACTTCAGAAAATTGCCCTAATACACATGTTTTTACCCATTTTATTACATAACTGGCCAATTTTCTCTTGAGTTTGTCTCAAAGGAAAACAGGAAGTGACATAAAAGGGGAACTCGTTAATAAAATAAATCTCTTCGTCTCTCTTTGATAGAGACTCAAAATAATGTAAAGAAACATCAGATTCTTCTCTACAGTCTGTGTTGGTTGTTGCAGCAARGCTCTGTTCACATGCAGACATTCCCCTTTGACATCACTTCCTGTTACTTCACAGGCAAATATCTCAACTACTGTTCATCTCAGCGGCAAGAAACTTGTTTTGCAATATGTTATCAGTGTTGTCTTTCCAAAAATGCATTCAKGTTTATCTCAAAAATTTGATGTCACGGGCACTTTAAACTTTAGTTGCAGCGCAGAGGACAAAACAGGATTTATAGTTATAGTTTATAAAACTTCACAGTTCTTCAATCATTCTACAAATCACATTTTCGAGTCAAGAAATTATGCAATAGAAAGCAGTAATTTAATAGTATTCTAGTAAAATAAACATATTTTTCAGTTTTTAACCTAAAAAAACAAGCTTCCACAGGTTCCTTCAGTTCTGAATCAAGCTGTGATCCAAAGACTTTCTCAGATAAATGATCAGCTCAGATTTATTTTAAGTTACTTTACTGAATATTTAAATAATAATAATAAATTTTGTGCAACTTATTTAAAATAAAAGCCTAGCATTCTCTGAAGCATATCACCTGAGTTGTGGACATTTTGGTCAAACTTCCTGTTAGCACTCAGAGGATGTTTTCTGAATGACTCTCAGCTACTTCAACAAACTTTGAGTATCTGTAAACTTCAGAGGTGTAGATAGTTCTGTGTTGGTTAACATCCATCAGCTGTGCTTAGTCTAAACGTGAACTGGTTCTAGATTTTCATCCAGTGAATGCTTTTTGAGAGCTTGATTCAAATCAGTGGTTCATGAGATCTTTTGCTAACACAGACAAACAAACGCACATTTTGCCTTCAGAAGGAGGCGGCGACGACTAAACATTAAAAATTGTTGTCTGTTCTGTCCGTTAAATTCCTGTTTGCTTGACCTTTTCTCTCCTGAGATGAGTTTGTACCAGACGTTATTTAAAAACCCCTCATGAATGATGTCCTGAACACTGTTACATTTCCGTTACACGGCTTGATCACGTCTTTACACTCACAAACGTTTACTTTGAAACCAAGTTTGCCGGCCCACATGACTCCAACGTTGGGATCATTTTCAAAGTGAGAAACAAAAACGTAGGTTTTATTTTCTTGTCGAGGGGGTGATCTCGATTCCGTTGAGCTGTATAAACTGTCGATTTTGTTGTGAAAACAAGATGTTCTGGTTAATTTGCTGTTTCTAAAGACTAAAATAAAGTGGTGGTGTAATGTCTGAGTCACGAGTCCTGTTTGAAACTAATGTAACTAAAGCTCTGGTGAGTAAAACTGCTGACTAATTTCACATAAAGCACACCGTTTTTCCACTTCCTGTAATGCCTTTTTTTTTTGTCTCTGTCGTATTTTAAGGATGTGTTGTCTTTTTTACACTTTTAAATAATTTTAATATGTTTTGGTCAAAATACAAGATTACAGCACCATATACCTTTTTTACTGTCTTTAGTTTTTATTTTTCTCTTCATCATAACTTGAATCTTCAAAGGTCCTACTCTAAAAAATATCTACCCGTATCTCTTGAAGGAGATTTTAACTATATAAATTTTTTATCGAATGAGAATTTGGTAAATTTATGGAAAAGTAAAACAAGATTTCTCTTATTTCTGTTTTGAAGCTCAATAATAGATAAATGTATCATTTTAAACTGAAGCCTCCTGCTGCCCTCAGGTCAAAATGATCCAGGAGGACTTCATGGTGATTTTTAACCCAAAGGTAGCTGATCTGTATTACTGTTAAAACACTTTGTTGGTCTATTTTGTGTTTTTGAAATGGAACACTTCTTCCATGAACATTTGGTTGTTTTCATTTTAAGTTTATAGGTGATAAAACAAAACACCAAATTTGAGTTTGTTTTTTTATTTTTTCTGCTGGGAAAAACAGCTGATTATTTATCTATATATATATTTTTTAACCTCATTTCATTCTGGAGTCTGGTGTAAAAAAATAAAAGTTAAACATTCAGCTAACAGGGAAACAAAAAGGTTTTACTCATCTATAGTAAACGATAAAAAGATGAACTTTGATCTGAACAGATTCATGAACAGTTTGGTGAATTTTCAGAGATAACTGGATAGAAGTATCAAAGGTTTTTGTTTTGTTTTTCTTCAGTTTTTGAGTCAGTACTGACTTCAGACAACCAAACCTCATATTTTTCCTTGACTTGTCTTTTGTGATTTATATTTTTGTGTGGCTCTTCTGCAGCCTCTCTGTTGATTTGTTTTTAATTGGCCGTCTTGTTAGTTATTAAACACAAAACCTATGTACAAGTCTGCACTTTTGTTTTTTTTCTATTAATAAATTACCAAAAAGACTTTCTCTAGTTGTCTTTTAAAAAAAATTGTAACCATTGCACTAC